TGTTCAAGGTGAAGCGCCCTCCTAGAGAGCTGCTTGTGTTCAAGGCACGCCATGTAGCTAGAGGCTTCAGTCAGCGAGAGGGGGTGGACTTCTTTCAGACCTGCGCCCTGAACCCAAAGATGACTAATCTTTGGGCGCTACTACACGTAGCAGCACAGCGTGACTATGAGCTTCACTCCCTTGACTTCTCCACTGCTTTCCTTCAGGACAGCCTACACGAGCAGGTCTACCTGCGCTGCCCTCAGGGCTTGACCGGTACTTTCCCTCCTGGGACCTTGTGGCTCCTTTGGCGCCCCGTCTACGGCTTGCGACAGGCGCCACGTGAGTGGCACAACACGCTGCGTCCTCTGCTGACCCTTCGCTCTTCGTTCGTATTGACCAGACTCCGTTCTACATCCTGGTCTACGTAGACGACCTGGTCTTTGCTACTGTAGACAGAGACGCGCTGGCCTCCGTGAAGGCTGAGCTGCTGAGGAGACACACTTGCACTGACTTGGGAGAGCTGCGCCGCTACCTTGGCCTGCAAATCTCCTGAGACAGAGCAGCACGCACCATCACTCTTACACAGTCACACTTGGTGCGCCAGGTCCTTCAGAGGTTCGGTCTTCAGTTCTCCTCCGCACAGCCTACACCTCTACTGGTAGGCCACAGGCTCTCAATTCCAGTTCCCGAGGAGTCAGCAGAGCCCAGTGGTCCTTACGCAAAGCTGGTGGGTTGCCTCATGTACCTGATGACTTGCACTCGCCCAGATCTCGCATACCCTCTCAGCATCCTGGCCCGCTTTGTGGCCACAAGTAGACACCGACCACCGCACTGGTCGGGAGCTAAGAGGGTTTTGTGTTATCTTGCAAGTACATCGGGCATGGGGCTAGTGCTAGGAGGACGCAGGCCCGTGGTCCTTACTGGGCACACAGACGCTTCTTGGGCAGACGAAGCTGAGACTCTCCGGTCCTCCCAAGGCTACTGCTTCAGCCTTGTTTCTGGTGCTATCTTGTGGAGGTCCACTCGCTCCTCGTCTGTTGCCCAGTCTAACTGCGAGGCTGAGATCTACGCCGGTGCCATGGCGGCACAGGGGCTCCGTTGGCTGACCTTCTTGCTTGCCAACTTAGGTGAGCGGCCTAGCTCTGCCTCGGTTGTGTACGCTGACAACAGGGCCATGATCCTCCTGTGTCAAGAGCCTCAACTTGAGGGCAGAGCGAAGCACATCCAGCTGCGGTACTTCCTCCTGTGCGAGCTTCAGCAGCATCGCCAGGCCCGCATAGTACACTTGGCCTCCGGTGCCAACACTGTTGATATCTTTACTAAGGCGCTTCCGCCTAGATATCATCAGCGGCACTGCTTGCAGTTAGGTCTAGTCCCCGTTGACTCTCACTTGCTAGGCCCTTAATTGTGTACTCCTTTCTATTTATGCCTTCCAGACTGGTCTTGTGGCTTTTCCTCCAGTGGTTGGACTAGTAGTGCCACCCTGGTTTGCTCTGTCTTGCTTGTACTCTTGCTGACTGTTCTTCGGGCCCCAACCTCAGAGGTTGGACTAGTAGTGCCACCCTGAGCTGCATGTTTCTTGCTCAGCACTACCCCTTATCTAGCCTAGGGGGTGTGTCAACTTATACATATATTGTTATGTAGAAGTTATAGGCTAGATAGGGTATGTTCTTAATGGGTACAACCCAAATGCTATATCTCCCCTATTCTCCCTTCTTCTAATAATTCGTTCTAGTCTGAACAGGCATTACTTGTTTGACCTCTGAGGCAAGGGTCCAAAGCAGTGCCTATTTTTCACGAGTAAATTACTCTGATTCTCTGATTTTCCGAGTTGATTTTGTGTACCACCCTTATGTTAAATTATTTCTTATATATATTTGTAGGCTTGGTAGGTGTTACTGAAACTTACTGTGGAGGGTACAACACCCCTCCTTGTATCCCTCTCTCTTCTCTTTCCTCTCTTTTCTCTCGTTACTTCCTTCTCCTAGCTAAACCCTTACGCCATTCCATGACCTAGTTAGCAAATTTAACACCTTACGCCTCTGGGTAAAATGTTGAGATTATACATTTTCTCTGATAAGCCAGGGTTTTGTTTTGTACCACCCTTAGGGGTTTACAGTATAGGGGGACACCCCCAGATTTTCTTGTACCCCCCTGTCTATGTATGTCCCCTTGTTCACGCGGACCACCGAGCTGGCCCACGTCATATACTCCCTGATTTTCTGTACCCCCCTGTCTACATACGTGGCCCCACATCCCCGTCGTATTCACGCGGACCGCCCGCCCACGTCACATGATGCCTGTTTCATCCTTGCTTACAGATTCCATGATCCCTTGGACACATGTTTTCCTCGCGCCTCCCTTTTTCCAAGCCCTCTCTCTCTAGCCCCACTCCCCCACTTTAGCCTCTCTCACAGCATCCGCGGATGTTCGTTCCTCCCCTTAGTCGTTTTTTCAGCAAACGCCCTCTCTCATTACCAGGGTCCGCCATGCCTAGCGAGTTTGATCTCGACGACGGTGTCAGTTGCGGGAAGAATCCAGGCCCCTGGTGCTCGCTAAGTGACATGCCCTAACAACCCTGCTAGCATACTAGCATAACACACCACACCACATCACATGCTACGAGTGGCCGCTATTTCCACCACTGCTGTCGCTACTACGAATGACACCAATTCTGTTGGCTGCTGCTGCCCATGGGAAGATCGCCGCTGCTAAGCTGTGCATAGTGGGATCGTAGCTGCTGCTGTTAAGTGACGAAATTTCCACGTAGACTGCTGTTGTTAGTTGCGAGTGCCGCGATTTTCACTCATGTTGCTACATGTGACGAGATGAGATTGTCGTCATTGCTAACGCAACCAGTGACACGATTGTTGCTCACGTTGCTTATGTGTGTGTGACAGGATCGCCACCACCGCTGTTGCTGCTATGGGTAACGAGTTCCTGCTGCTTGTTGCGGCGGCAGCGCAGGGTGAGATTACATCAGTTGCTACTACAGGTGACAAGTTTCTGCAGTTGCTGCAGTTACGAATGTCAAAAACTGCCTGCTGCTACTAGTGTGTATGGCATGATGCTGATGATGCTGATGAGTGAATGAAGGAATCTATTGCTATATTTTTATTGCAAGAGCACCTGCCCCCCTAGATCCACGGTCTCTAATGACACACACTATTAAGAGGGTGAAATTAAGGCGCCCTGGCTTGTCAGAGTAAAAAGCTCCAAAATGTAGGGTTACCCTGATGCCTCAGGGTTAATGTGGAGGACCACTCTGGTTTTCAGACTAGTGGGGAAAGCAACTTCCAGATTTCAGAGTAGTGAAAATCCAAAGATCAGCACTGGTCCGAAGACCAGTTAGCAATATTAAAAGCTAAACAAGAGCAACCCAGGGCGGTACTACTAGTCCAGCAGGGTCCTAAATAGAAGACCCTTTTTTGTCTGATTGTCTGATTTTCATACTGGTTTTTAGGGGTTTCTCTGTTTTTTCAGACACGTGCTTTCAAAAACTCTGATTTGACTAGACAAAATTTTAAGATTTCTCTGAAAATTTCAGACTAGGTGTACCAGCTTCTCTGATTTTTAGACAAGTGTTTTGAGTTAATATGAAACAAAGACATACAGGTGTATGGTGCTCCCACGCAAATATTCCCTGTTTCGCGTTCCCACACGTTGTTCCCCCTTCCGCATCCTTGGCATTAGGCTCACACGTGAGCCTTCCCGAGCCTTCTGTGGCAACAACTGATGTCGCTAGAGCACCTGTGATTGGATACTTAACGGCATTGCAGCATTGCAGTCCAGCCAATCAAGGCCCTTTGCGGCACCTTACTTGGGTCTCCAGCGCACGGTGGGGATCAGACCATGCCTCACCCCATGCAGTGAACTTGCTGCAGCATACGTACACCGCTGTACGCCATCCCGCCCATCACGACGCGTCGCCCCACCCCATTGTCTCGTCACTTGCCAGTCCGTGCCACCATGGCACTTGACCAAGAAACCCGCTCCCCAACCGCTTCTTGCTCCCTTCGTTTCCACCTGTTTCTTCCACCCACTCCTCTTATGTTATAGATTGTTGTTGTGCATCATGTTATCCTGCTCGTGTTCTGTTTCAGGTTTAGAATCCCCTCTCGAAGTAGGGCCAACATGGCTGTCGTTGTCGAGGCTGACGGCGACGATCAGCCAAAAGGGTTTAGCGAATCCCCGCCTCCCATGCAAGGCCTAGACTTCCTGCGTTCAAAGTTGTCGTGCACCCCTGCTGCAGAATCCTCCCGTCGCCCAGCCGCTATCAACCCTATGCTTGTGCCTTCCTCAGTCGAGCCCTCGCCATGGCCCATGCCACTAGCATCCCCTCCTTTGTCACCTGCGCGTTCGTCCAGCCCGTCCTTGCCTCAGCCCTCGTAGTCGCCCACACCATCGTCGGCAATCCGCTTGGAAACCGATGTCGAAGCATCAGCTCGCTCCTCTACCAAAAAGCGAAAGTATCGGCAGGCTTCTCTGCCGTGGATCAAGGGCGCCACATCCAGGCCTCGTGACTCTGCACCGAGATCAACACCCGGCCCGTCTACCGCGGAAGATATGGAGGAGGACAATGATGCTGACGACGAGGAGGAGGCCGCAGAAGTAGCAGAGCCGCTAAAGGTTGCTAAAGCACATGAAGCAGAGCTGAAACACAAGTTTGAAACTGAGTGGTCAAAGAAGTTTCCGTGGCTCATCCTCACCAAGACCGAATGGTCGCCCGTCCATCAAGTGCAGCATCTGCACGGCGCACCGGTCGGAGAATTGCAAGTACGGCAGAGGCGTACAGGGCGGAGCGGACATCCAGGTGCAGACGATGCGCAAGCACCAGCGTACCAAGAAGCACCAGGCCGCTGTCGAGAAAAAGGAGGCGAAGGAGAGGGCCGAGACGAAGCAAAAGCGCATCGAGGATTTCTCGAAGGGTGATGTCGAAGGCAGACGTATCATGTGGTTGTTGATGGCGATGTTATTCATCTGCAGAACTGACGCACCGATCTTGATGTTTGTCGCTTTGGTGAACTTCATGGTCTCACAGGGTACGCCGGACTTGGACGAGGGCAACTACGGCACCTACCATACTGAGTAAGTTCTTTGAATTTCGCAAGTCTCCCATTGTTCGAACCGCTAGAGTCATCTAATGCTTCTCGTTGCTTGCCATGTGTTGTAGGTACGGATTCAGGCAGCTGATAGAGGCAACGGCGACTTACCTTCAGCAGAAGCAGCTCGAGCACATCCAGAAGAGTCCTTTCATCGGTCTCAGCGTCGACGAAAGTACCGATCGACGACGCGGCAAGCACTTAATTGTCCTAAGTGACATTCGTGAAGAACGGCAGGGTTGTCACTGAGTTCTTTGCCTTACTCACTGTGCATAAGTGCGATGCTGGATCCCTCTTAGCCATTTTGCAGACCCATCTCGAATTGATAGGAGTCGACATCAATAAGGTTTCAGGCATCAGTACGGATGGGGCCAGTGTCATGAGGGGGGATCGACTGGGCCTGGTCACCCGCCTTCGGCAGCTCGTGCCGCACCTCGTCTCTGCTCACTGCATTGCTCACAGGTAAGGCGTAGTGCAGCACCACTTCCTTGGCAGGTTTCCCGGCTTCGTTGACTAATTCAGACTTATGTTTCGTGGTTTTGATGTATGATGTTCTGTGTTTGAGCAGGGAGGCGTTGGCAGCTAAGGACGCTGCCAAGAAGTTTCCCGACTTCAACATGATCGACAACATCATCAGGATGTTTGCCGAGATCTTGGGACGTTCCTCAGTGTGGCATGACTGCTTCAAAGAGTTGTAGGAGATCCTGATGAAGACCTTCCTGGAGATGTAGTCTATCTTCGCAATCCGCTGGCTTTCACGCGCCGAGGCAATACTCCGTCGCCGTTCTTCCCGCCGCCATCCTGCTACTGCACGAGTATGACCGCGATTAGTACGAGGCTGCAAGGGGCTACAAATTCCATTTCTGCCTCTTCTTCCTCGCCGACCTGCTGACACAGATCAACCGGCTTAACAAGAAGTTTCAGCGTCACCAAGCAACATATACGCTAATGCTTTAGATTGCGCACATACTGTACTTTAGATCGTGCACATGCATGTGCTATGCAGCTGCTATGCTGTGCTAAACATGCCTTGGCTATGTGATTTCCTCGTGCTACTTGCAGGTCGACATCACCAGGGTGGGAAGCATGATGCAGAGCACCACCGAGGTGATTCGCGCACGGTACATCAACTGCGGCTCTTCTTTTGGCGGCCCCAAAAGCAAGCACCTGCACAAGTTCCTGACATCCCATGAGCCTGAAGGTCGTGTGGTCGTCAAGGGGGAGGTGAAAAATGGCGAGCCGGTCCGCGACGAGTACATCCTTCACACAAAGACGATTCCGGACTTGGAGTTCAAGAGTGATAAGAAGTCCTGCTTCATGCTGTGCCGCGCCATGGCCCAAGAGACGATCGACTGCATCGACTCCAGATTCAGCGACTTGCAGCAGCTCAGAGGAACCAAGCTTTTTCTCTCAAGTGCCTATCCCACTGTGCGATCGGACCGCGAGAAGAAGGCGCTTGAGTGGCTGGTGCTTCTGAAGAAGCTCTTCAACAACAAGCCCGTGCTTGATAAGTTCTCTTGACCAGAATAGTTTTCCAAGTGCTTTTCTGGATTACCCTTCTAATGTTTACTCATCGTGCCTATCATCTGAGTGCGATGCCATACGTTGTACGCACGGTTTGCTGATTCTTCTCCCCTCCCCTTGCATTGTACCTCCCCCTCCCTCTCCTAGGCATCAGCTAGAAGCGCGCCAAGACAGAGCTGACATCATTCGTCAACATCACGGGGAAATGGCATACCACGTCAGCCTGTGGCACATGCTGGGGACACGCGACTGGAAAGATACCTATCCCAATCTTTCTAAGATTTGGGTGGCAACTTCTGTGCTCCCATTGAGCATGGTGGAGTGCGAGCGGGGATTTTCCCGCCAGAACGTCATTAAGAGCTGGTCTCGGGGCAACCTCTGTGATGGCCGCTTGGGCGACCTTGTGTGCATCTCCCTCCTACACGATTACGACATGCAAGTGGGATGAGATTGTCAACATATAGAAGGCCGCCAAGCCAAGGCAGCCTAGCCAGGATGCAATTGCCCCCATTCTTGCCCCAATGTCCAAAAAGAAGAAGAGCAAGGCTGATGCAAAGAAGAGAAGGAAGATCGTTGAGCTCGAGGCTCAGATCAGGAAGTGGAAGGGAATGGCTGTGGTTGAGGAGGATGGGCTGTAGGAAGGAGAGGTGGACGAGGAGGAGGAGGAGGAGGAGGAGGAGGAGGAGGAGGAGGAGGAGGAGGAGGAGGAGGAGGAGGAGGAGGAGGAGGAGGAGGAGGAGGAGGAGGAGGAGGAGGAGGAGGAGAGGAGGAGGAGGAGGAGGAGGAGGAGGAGGAGGAGGAGGAGGAGGAGGAGGAGGAGGAGGAGGAGGAAGAGGAGGAGGAGGAGGAGGAGGAGGTAGATGAGGAGGTGGCAGAATTGAATGATGACGACGAATTGGTACATGTAGGTAATGGCCATCTACATGCATGCTCGTTTGTAACTTGCAACTACTAACTGAATCAAAGTGCTAAACTGTATCTTCCATTGTCAGACAAAAAAACAGACTATGCATGAGAATTTCTCTGAATTTTCAGCCAGTGGTTCTCAAGTTCTCTGGAAAACCAGACAAGTTTTTCAAAATTCTCTGATCCTAAAAAACGCATCAGACAAAGTGCGCAGAACGTGTCCGATTGCTCAGACACGTTTTTTCCAAAAGATAACCCTGTAGTCTAGCCACTGGGACTGAAGCCACAAGGCCAGTCAAGAGAATATAAAAGGAGTACACAATCAGGGTCCTAACAAGTGAGAAGCTACAGGAGCTAGACCAAGCTGTAAGCAGTGCCGCTGATGATCTTTAGGCGCAAGCATCTTAGTAAAGATATCACCTGTGCTGGCACCGGAGGCCAAGTCTACTACGCGTGCCTGGCGGAGCTGCTGTAGCTCGCGCAGGAGGAAGTACCGCAGCTGGATGTGATTTTCTCTGCCCTCGAGTCGAGGCTCCTCACACAGGAGGATCATGGCCGTGTTGTCAGCGTACAGGACCGGGGCAGAGCTAGGCCGCTCACCTAACTCTATGAGCAAGATTGCCAGCCAGCGGAGCTCCTGTGCCGCCATGGCACCAGCGTAGATCTCAGCCTCACAGCTAGACTATGCAACATACGATGAGCGGGTGGACCTCCACAAGACCGCGCCAGCACCAAGGCTGAAGCAGTAGCCCTGGGAGCACCTAAGGGTCTCAGCATCGTCAGCCCAGAAAGCGTCTGTGTGTCCAGTAAGGACCACTGGCCTACGTCCTCCTAGCACTAGCCCCATGCCCGATGTACTTGCTAGATAACGCAAAACCCTCTTAGTGGCCGACCAGTGCTGTGGTCGGTGTCTGCCTGTGGCCACAAAGCAAGCCACGATGCTGAGAGGGTATGCGAGATCTGGGCGAGTGCAAGTCATCAGGTACATGAGGCAACCCACCAGCTCTGTGTAAGGACCACTGGGCTCGACTGACTCCTCATTAACTGGAGCTGAGAGCCTGTGGTCTACAAGCAAAGGTGTGGGCTGTGCGGAGGAGAACTGAAGACCGAACCTCTGAAGGACCTGCCGCACCAAGTGTGACTGTGTAAGAATGATGGTGCGTGCTGCTTTGTCCCTGGAGATTTGAAGGCCAAGATAGTGGCGCAGCTCTCCCAGGTCAGTGCAGGTGTGTCTCCTCAGCAGCTCAGCCTTCACGGAGGCCAGCGCGTTACTTTCTGCTGTAGCAAAGACCTGGTCGTCTACGTAGACCAGGATGTAGAACAGAGTCTGGACAGTACGAACGAAGAGTGAAGGGTCAGCAGAGGACGGAAACAACTGCAGGTCAGCTAGCGTGGCACGCAGCGTATCGTGCCACTCACGGGGTCAGTAACGAGGGAGGCAAGGACCCGACGAACAAGAGGACGAGCGGCACGAAGGTAGTACGACAGAGGGGAGGTGCGACAACAAGCAATGGCAGAGGAGCAAAGGCAGGAGAGGAGGACGGGATGCGTGAGAACAAAGCAACATGGGGTGCGAGCTTGCTACAGGAGAGACAGGACGAGCACGAGAGGGATGACGCGAACAGATGTGAGACGGAGGTGTCTGGTCAGGAGACAAAGGGGGAGACACAAGGAGAGAACGAGGGGAGAGCCGGGCGGGGGACGAGTCCGGCGGAGGAAACACATGACCGTGGATAGGAAGGGGAGGAGGTGGCAGGGGAGACACAGGAGAGCAGTCAGGGGAGGAAAGGCCGAGCAGGCAAAGGGCGGACATCGGCGGCGACTACTGCTACTGCTTGACGCCGACACCTGGACCGCCAGCTGCACCACGGCTACCACCGGAACACTCCACTCCAGCACCCCCAGAACGCGCACCTTCAGAGTGGGAACTCTCTCTAGCACCAGTGCCACCCCTAGGCCCGGCGGGACAAGCCACAACAGGAACCCCAGGACTAGCACCCTCCCCAATGCCAGCACCACCACAGTCCACGGGCGGCTGCTACTGCTGCGGCGGCAATGGCGGCAACTGCTGCGGTGGCGGCGGCGGCTGCTGCTGCTGCGGCTGCAATGACGGCTGCGGCGGGGACGGAGACAACGGAGGAGGGGATACCGGGGGAGAGGCAAGCAGTGAGGACTGCGCCGCGAGGCCACCAGAGTCAGCCGAATCGTTGACCGGGACAACTGACAGGAGGGGAGTGAGGTGCGACACACCAGATGGAGCAAGGCGGGGAGGGAGGGGAGCAGGGGGTACCGCAGGAGTGGGAATTAGAAACAGGGGTGGGGAAACTAGGAGACCTTGGTGGGGAAAGCAACGGTAAAAGGAGACAGACTCATCGAGAGTGACGTCACGCGAGTGAAGGAAGCAGTGAGATGGCGGGTGGTAAAAGTGCCAGTCAGACGAGTCAAGGGGGAAACCAAGGAAGACACAGGGGACAGTGCGCAAAGTGAGATTTTCCGTGCCAGAGGCACGAACGTGAGCGAGGCATCCTTAGACGTGAAACGCAGACGCGTTTCCACGAGACCTGGTCCAGAGGAGGGTCGGCGAAACCTGCGGCCGCTGGGAGTGCGGCCACAGGTTAAGCTGGAGAGCGACGTAGCGAAGAGCGAACGGCCAGAGAAAATGGGGTGCACCAGCATGAATCATGGAAGTACGAGCCACCTCCATGACCAATCTGATGCATCGCTCAGTGACCCCATTCTTCTGTGGGGAGTCCGGTAGGTTGTACGACTGGGTGATGCCCTTCGCATGACAAAACTGGCCAAGCCGACTGGAGGCAAACTCGCCCCCATGGTCAGAGTGGAGACACAGCACCAGGAGACCGCGGCGGACTCGTGCAATTACGAGCCACAGGATAAGAACGTTAAGCACGTCGGCCTTCCGCTCCAGAAGAGGCACTGTGGTATGGTGCGTGTAGTTCTCGACAAGCACCAGGAAGTAGCGCTCTCGACGCGGCCCAGGAACGGGGGCTGGACCCCAGACGTCCAAGTGAAGGGTCTGGAGTGGCACGGAGGCAGGGCGAAGCGAGGAGGAGTGAGGAGCACGGCGCAGCCGGCCCTCGACGTAGGGTGTGCACGGCAGCGCAGGGGAGGGAGGGAGGGAAGGGAGCGACGCAGGGAGACCTAGGACAAGACCGTGCTGAGACATGTGACGCAGACGCGAGAGTGCAGGGTGACCTAGGCGGTGGTGCCACAGCAGGGACGGGTGAGTGAGCGACCTATACGAGCAAGCCGCGGCTACCTGAGGGGACGGCCTCACCAGCGGGGACGAAGTGTAAAGCATAAACAGGCCGGACACAGGGTCCCGGGGGAACGTGGACAGAGGGGCACCAGTGGCCGTCTCGGTGCAGACCGCATACCGCTTGTGTCCGGGGAACGTAGTGGTGACGCCAAGGTCCTGAAGACAGCTGACACCAACTAGGTTCCTAGAGAACGAGGGGATGTGCACGCCTATAAGAGTGCTCAAGGGAACTGCCGGACAGGGAAGGGTGGTGGAGCTACGTGCAACTACCGGACCTAAGGAGGGGTCTGCAAGTGCGACGGTGGCAGGGGCAGCAAACGGCGTAAGGGAAGTGTGGTCGCGGAAGAAGTAGGCAGACGCACCGGAGTCAAGCGTGAAGGAGAGCGATGTGCTGGCAGCAGTCGGCAGAGGGGCTAGCATGGAGCTGAGGCTAAACAAGGCTGACGGTCCTATGCCTGACGCAGTATGGGAGCCTAGGCTACACATAGTGGATACACCTACGCTAGGCAACACCGGGTAATATGGTCAAATTACACTAGATTCATCAGCATACATGACAGACATAGCATTCCTAATCTGATCTATATCAAGCTCAAAGATTGGCAGACGATGGCGAGCAAGGGCGTACCAGTCCGGAGGGTCCGACGCAGGACCAAAGCGGTGGCGGAACAGATCGTCTAGGCGGCGGTAGGAGTGGCCCGCGGTGTGGCCGGTTCGGAGGCAGACAGTGCCGCGGCGAGGGCCGGTCTGAAGCTGGTACTGGCATGTGAGAGCGCTGGAGTTGCCACCCGACACCTAGCTGCGCCCCCCCCCCCCCACGACCACCGCCGGTGGCGCCACCAGTCCACCACAGCGGCGGGGGTCCCCAGGGCGACTGCTGCTACTTCGACGACTGCGGCTGCGGCTGTGGCTGCTGCTTATGCGGAGTCTGCTGCTGCTACTGCTGCTAAGGCTGCGTCTGCTGCTGCGGCTGCTCTGGGGCACCAGCCTGGTCCCCTCGTCAGAACCACCGTCCCCGACCTCACTGCCGCCACCCTCCCCACCGCCACCCCCCTTCCCCCCACCACGCCCCCCTTTGGGACGGCGACCCTTGCCTGGACGTTTCTGCGTTGAGGCCACGGCAGCGGTCTCAGCAACAGCAGCAGAGACGTCGGAGTAAGTGCACTGGGAGGGAGCACAGCCCTGGAAGATAGGGACCGGCACAGTACCGCTATACTGAGCGATATTGTGCTGGCGGGTCTCTATCTCAGATAGGGCAGTGTCAAAGGCGGCAAGGGTGAGGTCGCCCGGGTGCTGACTAAGGAAGTGGTCGCGGGCGGTGGCTAGGCGGTCAGGGAGATGCGTGGCTATGAGATAAAGGGTAGCATAGAACGGTGACAGAAAGGCAGTGAGCTGTGCCTCAGTGCTAGCGGCGTGGTAGCGCGTCTCAAGCGCATGGAGGTGCGTGGCAAAGTCGGCGATAGTGGGGAAGGACGCAAGATCAGGGAAGAGCATGGGAAGGATCAGGCGACCAGCAGAGGCTGTGGCGGGGGTGGAATAGTGTGTAATGATAGCATCTAAGAAGGCCTGGTCGTTCACTATAGTGGTAAAGCGAGGATGCTCAAACAGCGGGAGCGCATGGCTGATAGCAAGCTATGCGAGCGCGTCGCGCGAGTCCTGGATAGCATGAGCAAGCGCAGCAGCAGAAAAGGCCTCACGCTCAGTAGTGGTGGGGGTATCAGGGAGGGGAGCAAGCGAAGGGGGGTGGGGAAGCAAGCCATCAACATGAACAGTCAGGGAGTGACCGTCTTGGCGT